TTCACAATGATTTCTCATTGCCACGTGGCGCTGGGGTGAGAGGAATTTTTGCACTTTTGACTCATCCCCCCCCCCCCCCCTTTTCATAAACTGAACTAAGCAAAATGTAGGGCTTAAAAAAGCGGGGCACCAAAAAGAAATAGTGGGAAAGTTAGTGCGTGAGAGCATTCAGGGGAGGAACTGGGGGGCAGCATTTCAGGGCTAGTGGGCGGTGTCAGTTACCGTCTGCCAGACTTTGTCAGTGCATTCTACACTTGACGAAGTTTGGGAGATGATAACTCGATGCCACCACCAGCCTTGAAACGCTGCACCCAGTTCCTCAGTGAACGCTAACACGCACTAACATTCTCAACTATTTCTTTTGTCTGGTGCCCAGCTTTGTGAAGCTCTATGATTTGAGCTATAGTTTCAGGTGTTAAGACTTCCTTTTACCCATAATCAAAGATGTATAGCCCTAAAACCAAAGGGAACACTAGACAAAAGATGGGGGGGGAGAGAATGAGTCAAAAGTGCAACACTTCCTCTCACCATGGCAGCCACGTGAGCAATGAGAAGTCGCTGTGAAGTGTGACAGCAGGCCTTGACGTCATGCTAACGGCTGCTACCCAGCAGAATGCACTGACGAAAAAAGACCCCCCTGCATGGTAGGCCTTTGATTTTCATCATGGCATTGTGCTGGGTCGCTCACTTGGCATAATGCTGTGATAAGCACTGTAGAAGTTTTCAGGAGGGTAGACCACTTCATTTTAAGTGTCAGATCAGTTAGATTTATATGATTTGGGCCTCTGGACACTGGCCAAAGCCTGGATGGCCGGGCAGTCAACAGGGAAGCCTGGACTCCAGTTAGGCTTTTGGTGTAGATTCCTTGATACTGGTCACAGGTAAAGTGCATGTGTTATAGCAGAGTAGCTAGTACTCGGTGAATAAAAAAAAAATTTTTAGTGTGCTCATGATAACTTATCTTCCTGCAAGAAATTATTGACAGATCGGGTTGATCAGAGACCTAGTTGCAATTAGTAGATAGAGGATTGTCTCTATTGCTCCTTGCACAAAATTGTGCACAAGTTTAGCACTTCACGTAAAATATCTGCCTGCTATGTGTATGGCAGGGGTTTTGCACTGGCATACCTTTGTTTACCTTTCAAAAATTCTGAGTCATCAGCCAGGTCTCAGTCCAACCTCCAGGTTGCTGGCCTCAAAAACTTATGGTACAAAATACAGTATATTACAAAATAATTGTGGTTTTTTTTTTTTTTTTTAGGGAGAGCTTGTCATGTAAACTTATAAAGTAATGATCAATTTTACCAAATCATAACAAATTCATAGTGTAGGAAAAATCATTTTTAACATCTCTTACATATTGTTTCATTGGAGTTATGAATATCTGTTAATGTATTGCTCCACTTACGTTATAGAAATCCTTTAAAAGGTATACCTTTGATATAAACCTTTGAAGAATTTCGAGAGTATTTCATACTCTGAGCCCGGCCATGGGGCCCGGCTCGTCTGGTGCTTCGCCTGGTCAACCAGCTGTTGCTGCTGGAGGCCTGCTGCCCCACATATCCATCACAGCCTGGTTGATCTGGCACCTGGTGAAGAACCTGGTAAAGATACTTGTCTAGTTTCCTCTTGAAGGCTTCAACACTTGTTCCAGCAGTGTTTCTGATATCTTCTGGTAAGATGTTTAAAAGTCTGGGACCCCGGGTGTTGATACAGTGTTCCCCTTATTGTCCCCACTGCACCCCTGCTCCTCACTGGGTTTATTTTACACTTTCTTCCCCATATCCTGTCCTATTGAAGCTAAAGAATTCTAACTGAATTTAGGCAGACTTAAGATAAGTTACATAAAATTGAACTAAATTACAGTATATTACATAAACTTAAGCAGGGTTTAAAGGCTAGTTTGCTAGGTTAATTTTGTTGTCAATAGTTTTATACTGCTGTATTAAATTCTCACTAATATATCTCAGTAAGCAAATAAAAGTTTAGAGATGTTTTCAGAGTAGTTTCACTCATTTGACACTGCAGTGAGAGCATGATACACTCTACTGACTAAACACGATATTGTATAATATTTTTATTTTTAATTTTCAGTCAAGCTCTGGAGTTCCTGAGCAGTGAGGGACACGTAATACGACCATTGATGACGATCACTTCAGGGCAATAGAAAGCTAAACTCTGATGTGCATAGAATATGATACCTGAACTGTGGGGTAATTTCTTGATTACTTGAAAGGATAATGATAAAATTTCAAAATGTCTATACAGAAAATAAATTGTATTCTGGCAAGGTACTTTTAATGAATGAATTTCTTTTTCCAAATTTAAATTTGATTCTTCAGTTACATTATTTTGTTAATTTTTGTTTCATATGTTTTGAATTGAGAGAAATTTTTTGAATATTGTTTTAATAGTGAGAGATCCAAGAAGAAACTGATTGTTTTTAATATAAGGATACATTGTATGCAGAGTTTCAGTATCCTTGTTTAGTAAACTTTAAAGGGTGCTACATGCTGATTAAATTAGGAAAATTTAATATAAGGAAATTGTATGGTTTAAGAAAAGGTGTACAGAAACTAATACTGTATTTTAATTGGTCCTGATTAGTCAGTGTCTGAAAAACGAGATTTTAATGTGTAAGGGAAATGTATACTTGGTACTTCTTTCTTTCAACACACCGGCCGTATCCCACTGGGGCGGGTGGCCCAAAAAAAAAAAAACGAAATTTAAACTCCTTTTACATTTAGTAATATTTTACAGGAAAGGGGTTAATAGGCCCTTGCTCCTGGCATTTTAGTCGCCTCTTACAACACACATGGCTTACGGAGGAAGAATCTGTTCCACTCCCCATGGAGGTAAGAGGAAATAAACAAGAACAAGAACA